TATTAGGACCGTAGTTGTTTAAATATCAACAAAGAAACTAATATCGTATAAGAAGCTTGATTCTCACTCATACCGTAACCCCTGTCATTCTAGTTTTGTTGCTCATGCGCTGGCGTATGACTTTAACACGGTGAAAAGGCGAATAATCAACACCGGAATAAGACGATACTGTTAATCAAAGAGTTGCTTCACACTGCTGCCAGGGAATATAGAACTTATAACGGCTGCATTTGCTCCATTGACATTTCCACGGCGTGAATCATGATCCATAGCCTAACTGGCAATCGGTCTAGTGTCCAACTAACTGGGTCAAGTACTAACTGACCCAGCAGTTTTCCATTTCGTGTTCATCCCTGATGATGACCGATGTCAGTTCTGCCGAAACGTTGGAAAATTTACAAATAAATTTTTTTCCTATTTCTCGTGCTGTTAATCATGGAACCAGAAGAACTACCATCTTTGAATCATCAACGGCGCAGCATGAGCCTTAGAAATTATTAACACTTATAAGCTATTGCATTTTAGTAAAACATGTATCCTAAGTAATTTGCGAGTTAAAAACCATGGCACTATACTATAAAGCGGTGTACAATATTATCAGATACACTTCTTGCTGTTACAATACAACTGCTTTAGCTATATATATGTCAATATTTCACGGCGTATTCTGGTACAATGTTTGATATTATATATTACAATGAATGGCACAGTAGGACCAGTGCAACATACCGAAAACGATATATCTAAATAGCACAATGTACATAACATTACAGTGCATAGCAACGATACTTAAATAGTAAAATTAATATACAAAAATTTAAGCGTATCATATTAGCGGCGCATGCTACAGGACGGTCAAGATCTATATACTACTTGTGGCCATGACAATATTTCACCAGAGTAGTACAACTAAGTAAAATAAAAAGTAGAGCTCCATTCCACTGCGTATACAAATGATGCATATGGATTACGATAATTTATATCAAAATATGTGCTACAAAATAAAGCGACAATTAAACATGATCAATATGGACTACGAATCGCATTATTCGTCATACACCAGAGTACCAGAACGTACTTTGATGCTTATGTGATAATATATAAGAAGTACCAGTTCCAGAAATGTCGTTTGTGATGACCGTGAGGTGGCTGTAGCGCACTAAATTATGCAAAATGCATCTGACACTGCAGGTAATTAAATACCATGGAGTCGTGGCCTGCTCAAATGGACTTAGGGAGGGGCAGTACACCATAAAATTTGGTCTTGAGTGAGGCATGCATTACAAAACTATAGTGTCGAATACGACAGTGCCTTGGCTTCCACAACTGGCATCCTAGGGCTCATGGAGCAACGACGGTGCAATTTTGTCATATAACCCTATGATATCACTCATGCGAGTCGCTCTAAAGGAGAGTACAAGTGCAGTATTGTAAATAATCACCTCTAGTTGGCGTTACACCATAAATTTAATTACTTAGCGGATTTTGAGTGCAAAACTCAATCTGCGAAGAATCATCGACGAAACTATCTTCATCGTATTCTTCAATGTCCACATCGTCAGCATCGCCTTCTTCAGACGACCTGGAACCTCTGCGGTGGTGAACGACTTGCGCCTGAGTATCGAAAAATTCGGCGACGCGTGGCTGTAACGCTAACACTATATTAAAACGACCAAAAGGGCAAGCGCTTACTTTTTTCTTTCTTGGCTGTTTCTCTACTTCATAGGTGCAATTTGAAGAGGCTGACTCTGCAAAACTTTAATTCAAAACAAGCTTAAGAAGATCATGACATAATTACCACTGAGACTTGAAGGTTCTGACACCGGCTGTTTCATAGTCATTGCTGAAGAAGACAACGTTCCGAGATAAGATTCGGATTTGTGAACGAAAGAATCGTTTAAAGGACTCGCTGTAGAACAAGGGTTTGTTGATAAGGACTGTCCAACAAGATCACCGCTGGGTTGCTTCAGAATTTTTTCCAGACCAAAATCAACGGCAAAGTTCAGCTCAAAAGAGTCGTCAGAATCAAAGTCTATGAAAGAGTTTTCAGGCATTGTGTCAAGCAGAGTAAGAGGCCGATTTCGGGCAGGGGTAGAGTCGGTTCGCAAAACGCTCTGGTGCCGTGGTGAGGGCGACACTTCTTGGTCAACGACACCTCGTGAAGATTCCACTGCTGAAAAACCCGTCTTGGACGATAAAACCTCAGAGTTGATGCCTCCACTCCTTTGGATGGGTCTAAGAGCGATCGACATTGCTCTGGTAAAGTCATCGTCGTCGTCGCTGTCAAACAAGTCACAGCTGTTGGCAAACTGGTCTCTATCATCCACGAGGTGTGATCGACGTTTTCCCGAAGCAAACGATGCATGGGTAATTGAAGGAGGAGCGCCTTCCTTCGATGCGGTAGAAAGGGGATGTCGTTGATGTGGCGTAGTGAACTCTTCTGTTCGAGGACCATTCCTCCTTGGTTTAACGCCACACACCATTCTATCCGACTTTTCAAAAGCCACTGACGACGTGTTATTAACGGAATGAGGCATCAAAGATGGTAGCTGGTGCTGACTGGGAGAAAGTTGGGATTTGAACGCAGAAAAACGGATATCATCACGGTCATTCGAACTGCCATTTATTCGCAGATCTGGTGACGAAGCAACGGGATGCAAAGTATGGCGGCTTAATGACAACACATTTAAGTTTGTGAACACGGGGGAAGTAGGCGCCACGACAGGAGGGGTCATGTTTTCTCCGGAAGTACATGATAATGCCAGGCTGACACCGTTGACGCGCGTGTGATCCATCGCCAACGACGTTTCCTCTGTCGGTACTGACGCAGCTTGCTCTGAAGCCATCGCGATCGGCACTACCCGAAAGTCAAGGGGAAGCGCAAGGTTTACCTGCAACTGCGCGGAGATACTCGCAGTGGAGGTTAACACTGAGAAATCAGACCGTCTCCAGTCCTGGAAAGCCTCCTCACTCGAAATCAAAGACACGTCGGAATGTCGTAGGGAAGAACTGACGGGAGCTTTGCTGAAAACTCTGCTGCACACTGTCGGCTCTGAGGGCGGCAACTTCAGTTGGTCATCGACGAAACACTTTTTAAATACAGTCTCGAGGTTCAAAACTAGTCGCGAAAAATCAACGCTGCATATCTGCTCTTGAGCACGAAAAGGCCGAAACTGTGGGCTTGCAATCAACGGCAAATCGCCACAACGAATTTCGTCTTTCATCACAGTTTCAGCAGTCACTTTGCCACAAATTTTCGGAAGTTTACAATCCGTACTGCTACCACTGGTATTTGATACCATCGGCTTAGACTTGCAGTTCGACCGCTTGCGATGTAACGACATCCTTACGTCCTCTTCTAATCGGTTGTCATCGGAAATAAAGTCGTCCTCAATGACGTCATGTAGTTCTTCAGGGACTTTAGAAAGATAAGCGCATCTTTTGCTGAGCTTCATAAAGTCGTCATAGGAGCAGGAATGACCGCTGAAGAACCAGGGGATGTCACGGGCCTGCCACAGGTAATATGTGGACAAATCTCCTTTGCTTATGAACGGATCAATCTGAACAATTACCACATAAACGAAAACAAACATAAGAACTGCTAATTTCATCACTGAGAATATATAAAAATTATTTAATGTTATTTCTAATTTTTTTGAAAAAAATGAAATGAATCAAACAAACAAAACACAGGAAAAAGATGAAAAAGAAGAAAAAGCACTGCACCAGACGCGTGAATCACACAGACATGAGAGCTAGTCCTTAAATTCATTCGATCCATCATCTGACTAGTAAGATCATGCAAGACACGGAAAAAACGAATCGTAAGCAGCTTACAGCCTTTCTAGCGGGTAAGAATAAAAATAACAAAACAACAAATAAACATCAATAGAAATGATTCTGCTTTTAAGACCCTAGTCTAAGAAAGTGATTAATCTGCGTTTGGTCGGCATCGGGGCAGTGACCCAGCAAGAGAAGAAACTTTAGTATGGGGTGACTAATCAGTTTTGCGCTTAATACCTGCAGCGAACTTGTAGTCAAGATTTCGTTGGGACTTTTCGCAGCATATGCAAGAAACATTCGAAAATGATCGTATTACAAAGAGCGACATAAATTTCAACCTGCCATAAGACAGTTGGCCTACTCCAACTGGACGAAATCCCTATATTTTATGTTTAAGACCTGCCTTGGTATTTCGTGCAAAAGGACTGCAGCTGCTTTATACCCAGCAAGACACAAGTTTCAGCGGAAATCGTACAACTAGTGCATTGCATTAAACAAAGTTTACCTTTAGAGAAACCTGTAACTGTCATCACATTTGTAACAGAGGTATCCATCTCTGGATTGCCTCTCCCAAAGAGCAGTTTCGTTCCCAGATAAATATATTAATCCGTTGCTTCTACTGCCTGACAGTCCACTAACGCGCTTCAAATCAGAGATATAGGCGATAATATTTTGTTTTTCCAGGAAAATCCTAACCTCACTTTTCATAGATGCTTCTACAATACTGCATGCATTTAGAAAAACGCTCAATCCAATCAAGTCACCCTTCTAGAAACATTCCAGAATTTTGCAATTGACAGATCAGGAAGGCGAATGTCGTAATACCCTGTTGATTGTGGGTCATTCCTTCTCCAAAAAAATAAATAAAAATTGCCACGATATGAGCATATGATGAATAGGCCAAGGAGAGATTCGCAGATGCACTCACCGCTCTCAAAAATGAAAGAAAGCACGGCCCGGACAGACCTTAAGCTAATGACTTGATTATACAAACGATCCGGCGTTTCTGAGTTTTTGAATCCGGATCACTGAATTTGTGAATTTGGTGACGGATTAGCATCACTAGATAGACCTCCTGAAGCAACTGCGCTCGCAACCTGAAGGTAACAGCAATTTAAAAATAAATGAAAGATGGTAACTAACGAAACTGGGCATCAAACAAACTTCTGAAGTTGCCGTGGGGTCAAGAACATAGCCTTAAGATTAAGCTCTACGCTAAGTCTACACCATTTTGCGTTTTACACTTAGCAAGTCTTCTCCACTTTAAAGTTTGCATTTGATTCACTACAACGTCAGACGATGTGAAGAATCTTGAAATGCTCAAGGAATATCTTAATACATCGTTTCTGCCTTGAAAGAGATGCGGGTAGGAACAACGTCTGCGGTTAAGATCGAAGATCAGCTACCTGAGCGGTTCCCTATTAGTTGCGAAGTTCGACAGGGGAGAAGTACTTTCGCCTGTGCTATTCGACATTGTTCCCTAAATGAGTACTGACCCTGGCAAAGACGAAGGTCTGACTTTACAGGGACGACGCAGTTCAAGATGCTCGGTTAAATATCTTGATGATTTAGAGTAAGCAAATGATATAGCCCTGGTCAGTGATACAGGTAGTGGGTTAGGTCACCTTACGGCTTCCGTTGCAACAAAGCTGCAAAAGTCGCCCAGAAATCAAACGTTATGTGAAACCAATCCGACATCGTTGATCTACTATTAAAGTAGCGAGGTGAAACTGTAGAGGAAGACGACTAATTTAAGCTTTCGGCTCCAACACCTAAAGCGATAAGACCATTCAAATAAAATTATGATAGAGCATTGCCCTAATTTCGAATGCATTTTGAAATCTGTCCAATATTTGGGCTGAGAAAAGAATAACCCTTGCACAAAATTCCTCTGAGCAATACCTGTTAGGTCAGTGTTGCTGTACACATGATGAGTTGTTCTAAGGAAAGACTAAGAACGGCAGTTGATCTGCGTACATTAGCGTGAGCTACGACGCATGATGAAAGTTAAATAGGAGGTTTATGTATGGATGGAATGACTCTATTCTCTTTCGGAAATAGGCGCCCACAATAGATGTAAAGATTAAGAAAAGAAAACTGGCCCCCTGTTATACAAACTGGTTGGGCAAAAAACCTTTCACTCCAACTCGTGCGTTTTTCAAGTGGGAGCCAAAGTAAGGCATATGTCGACAAAGGGTAAACCGCGCAACGAGGTAGAGAAACGAGGTAGTGATAGATCTGCTTTCAAAGAGGAATTATTCCAGAAACCATTAACTTACAGCAAGTGTTGAAAAGCTGCACATGCAACAGACAAAACAAACTAAAGACGTTCAGTTTACACAAAGAGCTCAAGGCGATGGTCTCGACAGACGCACATCTTTTTTTTAAAACAGGCAAATTTTTAAAAGTTTAACTCGAGACAGATTTTAAAAGATGAGTAAACCAAAATTTTATAACGTTTCAGAACAACGAAGCATTAATCTTGGACCAAAAATAATATTTTCGAAAGGAAATAAAATCGTTCTAATGAAAAGAAAGAAAGCAAAACTGGAACAACCAGAACTTACTTCAGCTGTTAATTCGTCGAGTACTACGGTTTTATCCTAGAAAACAGTAAAGCTGAGACAGAAAAACATGCGGAGATTAAAATAAAATTTAAAAAAATCATGAAAAGGAGAAGGAAAACGCAAAGTTCGCAACCACTGGAATATCGGCATTCATTACACTTTCAGGAGCTATTCTTGTCATAAACTCGATGGCACGGTTTTGATCTCCGTTTCTATGCCATCAACCAGGAATGCCTTAGTTTAAAAGCAACGTCGACAGCAACTAAATGACAAGAATAATGCGCAGTCCCTTGTTTCTTTTCCACAGAGTGGTACCAATTTTTCAAGATCAAAAGGAAGAAAAACGAATGACTTGAACATGGCTCGAACTCAGAACCTCTTGATTGTAAGACCGACGTTCTACTGACTGAGCAACCCAGGTCTGAAGAAACGTAATTTTCTTGCAAGAGAAATCATGAATAAAATACCAATACTAATAAAATCATGAAACACTATGCTAAACAAGTAAAATAATTAGCAGAAATATAAAAAGGTCCAGATCAGAAAAACTTACCTGTAAGCACAACAATGGACGATGGGTGATCAACGTAAAAACCGACTCAGCAGTATAGAATTTTTCAAAGTATTCAGTAAGCTGCGCATCCGTTAGAAGATCATCCTCCTTTTTTAGCGATGGCCCTAAAACTGACCGTACAGTTAAACGGTTGCATAATCGAGTAATTAATTAATTATTAACCATAAATATATCTACTCACAAAAATCAATAATCATTGCGGTGAGGTCTGCGAATAATAATTTCGCAGCTTTCGCAAATTAAGACGCATTTCTTTGCACTGTTCAAAATTTAATCACCGTATTCTCATCAGAAAATGAGTGAAGATCATAGCAAGAAACCTTATGACACTTCGAAGTACAAAGAAGCGCAGATTCTTGAGTCGCTGCGGTATCTGAGGCTCCCTGAGTTTCCAATATCAATTACGTTCTTCAATGTCTCTGGCATCTTCTACAGCCTGATCACTTTGTAACTCTTGAACAGGACCATTCGTTCTGACTTGAGATGTTCCGGTTCTATGCCGTCCCTGACAGGATTTCCGCTAATCTTGAAACCCCTGATTGACTACTGTACTTCGTTACAGGTGACATCCTGAGCGGTTTCCCAGTCAGTGTAACGCAGGTTCCGGTTTCTCTCTAATGTCAAGGAGTAGAGGTCGTTGCAGGACCTGGTGCACATCGTTTTCAGGCGACAGTGATATGTAGTTATTGTTCCTCCTTCATCATTTAGTGCTACCGGAAGACGCTATTTTAGAAGGATGTCCCTTTCTACAGCCTTCAGGCAACACTTCTTTAATGCGGTCTCTTATCTTCGTTCCTCTGTGCTCATCATAGTACTTTAAAACGTTTTTTCGTATTTCTTTGCATATAGCAGTGAACTCGTCTTCCAGTTGCTCATCAGCCATCATTCTTGTCTTTTGGTCAATAGGTGTCTCGTTGCAGGGTTGGTGCGGTTTCCTCGCCGACATCGCTGCCCAAGTATACGGACGGATAATGATATTAGTTTTAATGGTATCAATGAGGTATTAGAGCCTGCACGATGGCTCTGCTGATATCTACTGCGAGAAAGATTTGAGGTTATGGGAAAAGCTTCAGGACCAATTATTTGTCAAGTAGTTAATGGTCACTGAACCGTCCAAACTCGATCTTCTCTAGCAATATCGCTCGTGATTGTAGACCACAGTAATCTGTGGTCTGACACTGTGCACAAGATGCTTTTTAAGACAAGACATTTATTATTTCTCTTTTGGCGTCCGTCAGAACATAGTCGATGTGTTAAGGTCAGAAGACTTTCTAACTCCGAACCAATCAACTGCTGCAGACGACAAATAAAATTTACAAAATTCTACCTTGAAGAAGGCTGGTGTGACACGGGCGGCAACGTTGGTATAGGTCAGTCACCGGATTTACCATATTATCATTTGTGTTGTGCATTATTAAACCATGTTTTATGCTGTTTCTTATTTTTTCAAACAAGCTATCATGATACTATTACTTATGATATGGAACCAGTCAGTTTCTGCAAACGTTATGATCCGGTAATCGCATTCGCTTTGTTCTCCACTTCCGATCCGGAAGTTGAAACGCTCTGGTTGTAGAAATCTCCTTGGACGATTGTGTAGATGAAAGTCTTTTTCGCTGTGCCTTTTAGTTCTTCGTACAAATGCTCCCCTTTTCATTGCCTGCTTGCTGTGTTGGGCTGTAAACGTCGATCATCTTTAGTGATCTACTCATGTCCACACGCAGAAGAATATGGCGTTGAGACAACATGAGATCAACCCTCTCCTTTACGATGAATCCGACACCAAGTGTATGAGCCCAGTTTTCGACCCTTTCCTGAGCATTTGATCAGCGTTATTCCGTTTTGAGAGTTTCAC